ACGCACTGGGGCCTGTCCCACTGATAAACCTTCAGTTCAGGCATGGGACAGGCTGCCTGCACTGCCTCTGCTCAGCATCTGGAATTGTTCATCCCACCCAGTGGCCAGCACAGGCCAGGCCCAGTGACATGCTCATGCAGGATGTGCAGTGAGGAACATAAGTGTCCGAGGACCCTTCCCCTCTGTGCACCAAGCCCTCGCTAGGGCGTGAGTTGTAGAGAGAAAAGGGAATGCAGACTGGGAGAGGATCTGGCGGTTTAGTGAGGATAAAATCTACTTCTGGACTCCCAGATCCTCCCACTGCCCAGAGCGGCCTCTAGGTGGCAGTTTCACATGGACTCGAGTCAGACCAGGCCTCAATTCAAGTCCAGATGCTATTGAATATTATTTAACTAGAATGGTTCTTTGAGCCTTAGTTTCTTCAACTGTAAAATGGGGATGATTCAACTGTAAGATAGAGTTGCTGAGAGGCTTAAGCGGGTTGGGCATGTTTTTATGAAAGCCTGCCTTGTCTGGGCTGGATTTCCCCCATTGGTGCCAGCACGCAGTGCCCCTCTCCTGAGAGCTCTCAGATGCCCAGGAGTCACCTGTGACGCAGGACTCTGCTGCGGTAAGCCAGGCCTCAAACCAGCAGACCTAGTGCTGGTTGTATAAAGGAAGGTTCCCAGCAGCAGTTACATGTTCTGGTGTTTACCAGGAGCTGCTGCAGCTGTGAGCACCTCCCATGTGATGGCTCATCTGCCACTGGGAGCAACCTGAGGTGCAGGCACTATCATCAGTCCCCTTTACAGATGAGGAAAGGCCTAATCTCTAAGATGAAAGCTAAGCAAGCTGCCCCAGGCTGTGCAGCTGCCAAGTGGAGAGCTAGGATCTGCACTCACATAATCTGGCTCCTGGGCCTATGCATGTAACCATCATGCCACGCTGCCCTTTCCTCCGCACTGCTGTCACCTCACACCTTCCCTGAAGTTAGAAACTACTTCTGGGATGCTTTTCCCATTCCCTCCCCCTCTGTCTCCTCTCCTGCCCTCTGCCTCATTTCTTTCCATCTCCCCCTCTCTGTTTCCATCTCTCTTTCTCTCCCTCCACTGCACCACAACCTATTCGTTCTCATCTCTTCCTCTGTCCCTCTGTGTCTCAGTGCTCTGTCGCTGATCCCTGATCCCACCTAGTACCTGGCACATGGGCCGGGGGCTCAGGGATCAGGGTGGCAGCCAGAGAAAGGGGGCCCAGGTAATCACAAGGAGCTCTCTGGCCCCTTGTCAGGAGAGCTCTTCAGTTCCCCCAGTGCAGCAGGCAGACCCATTAGAACAACAAATGTGACCCAAGAACTGCCTCAGTTCCCTAGCACCTTTGAGCTCTGGAAGACAAAACTGGACTTGCTGGAACTTCAGGAAACCCCAGAGCTATCCCTTACCCCACCCCAACAGGCTTCACTATGCTTCCAGAGCAGATCCAGGAGGTAAGAGTCTGCAAAGAAAGCCCCAGGCAGGAGCCCCTGAACCAGCTCCTCTCTGGAATGTGGTGTCCCCGAGAAGGCATGGGGACCACGGAGGCACAGACCCCAGCCCAGGTGCCACAGGCAGCCAATGGGCTCTGGAACCTCTGAGGGGCCCAGGCTTTCTTGGCAAAGGCAATAAGCTCTGCAAAACCCAGTGCCGGGGGATAGTCCGAGGACCTGGCTGTTTGTCCTGGGCTCAGAGCACATAAGCTCAGACAGCTGGGGTCTAGGCAGCACCCACTGGAAGTCTTGAGTCATGAAGGAGAAGGATGCTGCCCTAGAATAAAAATCCTGGCCATGAATGGTCTCTGACAGCTTTAAGGGAAAGAGCAATTGTCTCCTTGTAGAGATGAGATCTCCCAGGCAGGAATGTCATGTGGATTGTGCCTGTGGCCTCCGCATGTCTCATGATGTGGGGGAAGGTTTCTGGGAGCAGGCCCAGGAGGAGACAGGACTCATAGGAGATTTCATAATGGGCTCTGCAGCAGTGTTAAGATTGGAATCAAACTTCTTTCCAAACATGGGCTGCGCAGTCCAGCTTCAGGCCAAGGAGTGGGAGCATAAGCAGGTGCCATATTTCATGGGCTCAGGCCCCCTGTTAGGGTATCTCTTCCCCAGGCCACCAAGGAAGGCAGGGAGAGGGGATGAGATCCCAAGATCTGGCTGGAGGAAAGGGAGATTTGTGCACAGCTGTGGTTCAATGGTGGCCCACATTCCCCACCGCCCACATGCCCCAGGCTGAGATGAGAGCTGCTGCAGCCTCTAACAGTTCACACTCAGCTCTCCCTCCCTGCACCAATCATCTGTGGTGGGTGCAACCCCTAAGGAGAGCCAAGTCCACACAATTCATGCCCTACACTTAACCAAGTTTCTCCTTTGCAGTGATGGGGGAGGAATTCAGGCTTCTCCTGTGTCACCCTTGGGTGTTCCTGGGTGTTGCGAATTCTCTCCAGGTGCATAATCCCCAGACCTTCGTGGCCATTCCCGCTATCCCAGTTGCTCTGTTACAGAATGAGCTTGGTCTCTCTCTGCTTCATCCCTACCCTCTTATCAGTTTCACACTTGCTAAGATGAGGCCCATGTGGCCTCTTCTTCAGGATATCTGTGGACTGATACTGGACTTTCTGGGTGAGGGTCTCCTACTGAGGATCTCATGATGTCCACAATGCTGACTGTAGCTCATGTAACCACAGCACTTCACAGTGTAGATCTGGGGCCCGTGGCTGACCTGGGAATCAGATCATCCCCATTTCCCAGATGAGACGGTGAGAGAGCAATAACTGGGTCCATGATGCCAGACTTGGCAAATTCCATACCATGTTGAGCTGGGGAAGTCCGTTGACAAGGTCTGGGGTGGGCAGGATGGGGCTGGGGTCTTCTTAGAAGGCCAGCTCTGTTCTTGGGGACTTGCAAACCCTGCCTGCCTGAGTTTGACTCTATCTCATTGTGAGTGAATTAACTGTTGTGCAACCTAGAGTGGTGAGACAAGTTAATTACATAATTACTGCAAAATGACATGTTATTTCATGGCTGCAATATGGTAACTCTGTTGGAAACAATTGTAATTGCCCAGAAACTGCATTCAACTGGCTCCGTTATCTCTCGATAACCATGTAATTAACTTGTGTTATAACTTTATCTCCAGCAAACTCGAAGTAAGAGTTGGGGCCCTTGGGTTGGGCACAGCCATCCTAGACCTAAGGGTCCAGGGAGAATCTGGCACTGTGGACTCTGCTACAATGCAGGAAAATCATTTGCTTTTTCATGTTGAGCAAGAAAAGTCCTCATTATAAACTCCAGCCCTCTGTGTCTCTCCTCACTCAAACTCCTTCACAATCCCATGTGCTCACATACAGACAACTCCCAGTTTCACCGTCCCCTTGAACCCATGGCTCACACAAACACGCACTGCAGCCAGATCCACCGGCCTTCACCTCTCTTCTCGCACATACAGGGTGCAGCTCCTTCACAGAAACCGGATGCCCCCAAAGTTGAGAACTCCTGCCCCAGGATCCTCGACTCTAGCAATCCCTTTTCACAGACTGGGCCAGTGACCACAAAACCACAACTTGGAGAGGTAGCCTCCTGCAAGCCCGCAGGAGGGCCCCGCCATCTTTTCACTTTCAAGTGGAGGAGTAGGCCTGGGGAGGGTGAGGTGGGAATCCAGCCTAGCCTAGCCCAGCCCAGCCCAGCCCAGCCCAGCCCATTCCCTGCCCAGGAGCAGGCAGGGCTTGAGGCAATAGTCTGGCTCCATGTGCCCTGGGCTCTGGGCTATGGCTAGGGTGAAAATAGCCCCTGGGAAGGAGAAGGGAGCGGCCTGATAGTGAGGGAGCCTGTCTGTGCAGCTATTTCTGTCTAGGCTGGGGACTCAAGAAGCCTCTCTTTTTAATATTGCCCAGTGAGAAGGTACCTTTACGGTTCCAGACTCTGTGCTTGGCACTGTGGCTGCCGCCAAGACCAAGACAGCACCCCTGCTGCCTTGAGTGAATCTAGCTCAGCGGGGGAGGTGGAAAACGCCCTGATGCCTGCCTGTCTGCTGCAGCTGTGGCTGGAGGTGAGTGATGGGGCTTGCCCACCTCCACCTCTCCTGCCTGTCTCTGCCTACACACTTGTCTACTTGTGTGTCCATCCTTCCTGCTTGCAGCACATGTCTGTCTGACCATATGTGCATTGACTTGTCCATCCATGACTCTCTTAAGTCATCACAAGTGGCCTTGTGTCCCGCAGAGGGAACTGGCCTGTCCCAGGTCTCCGCACAGCATTCTGTCCTCACAATGATGTGCTTTGTTTTCCTGGCTTTCCCCGCAACATGGCTTCCACTTTCCACCCCCACAGCAAGCTCCCCAAGGGCAGGGACAGTGTCTGATCTATGATTCATTCTCACATCTGATTTGCTCCAGGACACCCCCGGTTGTAGCATGGGATTGAGACATGGAGTTTGTTGAGGTTTGCTGACTGAATAAATGGATGCCTCCAGACTGCATGGGCTGAGTCGAAAGGAAACAGGATTTTTCTTGCTCACTCAGAAGAGCAGAAAGCTGGGCCCCAGCTGCTCGCAGAGACAACAAGTACTGTCCGTCACCCTAAAAGGGAAGAGAGGTTTCAGCATGGTGCTCCCATGGCAGAGGACACAAGATTTGTGGTCCTACTGGGGAAAAGGTCAGAGCTGGGTCTCCATCTGTGCCCTCAGTCGGGGGTCTCAACAGAGGGGATGGAACACAGGGTAGGGAAGGCTTCATCTTGCCCCTTTTCTTGGGGACCTACTCAGGGCCAGAGTGTGTGCTCTCCCAGAGGGAAGATGCCTCAGGTCTCACCTCCGGCTGGAGCTAGGGTCTCTGAGTTGTCTCGTTCCTCCCAGCTTCTTCCCCTAAAGCCAGCCTGTTGCTCCCCTGCCCGGCAACAGCACGTGCCGGAGACCCCCACCCTGCTCTGTGCTCTGCCCTTGAGAGGCAGAGGGGAGGGGCCCCAGGTCTGTGTCAGTCATGTGAACAACGCAGAGTAACCTCCCGGAAACATTCATAAGTTTAATCCACGCCAGTAATAAAATCGCATTACATTTCTCATAAAATAAATGTTCCCATTTATATACAGAAGACAGACTGTACAGGCCCGGCCTGGCCCCAGGAGGGGTCATACACAGACGGGCGGTGGTGGAGGAGGAAAGGCATCCCTCCCATCGAGGATGGAGAAGTTCTAATGTGGCAGGAGAGTGGCTGGCCAGCCTGCACTGGCAGAGTGGCTGGCTGGCCGGCCAGGCGGGTGGGCAGGCGGGCAGATGGACAGACGGGCCTGGAGGCCAGGCGCCGGGTGTTACTGAACTTGGGATTCAAAGGTGCCATTGAGCTGCCCCTCCTCATAGTCCATCTGACACAAGATCATGTTGTTCTTCAGGAAGAATTTGTCTCCCACACAAAATCTAGAAAATCCAAGCAAGAGAGAGAAGCCATGGGAAGGTCCCAGTGGGTAAGGGGGTGCTGCAGACAGAACCCGGCCTGGCCTAGGAGGTGGGCTATGTGGGAGGTGGTGGGGGAAGTTTGTTCCTCGAACCTTCTAGAGGGGACTGCCTAAAGTCCCCACAGCACACCTGGGCAATTCCCCCAGGCCAGCCCCAACCTTGGCCAGGCCCTGTAGCCTGGAGTGGTAGGACAGAGAGACAGTTGGGCCACAGGCTTCCACAGTCAGGTCTCCTGTGGAGGTGAGTGTAGGATTAGGGGGGTTGGTGGAGAGGTGCAGGAACAGCCTACCCCAGTCCCAGAGAGGGAGAAAGGGAAAGGACAAACAGAAAAAGACCAAAGAGGGAGACAGATGGAGAAAAGCAGAAATGGAGCCGGGCACAGTGGCTCATCTGTAATCCCAACACTTTGGGAGGCTGAGGTGGGTGGATCACAAGGTCAGGAGTTCAAGACCAGCCTGGCCAAGGTGGTGAAACCCCATCTCTACCAAAAATACAAAAAAACTGTAGCTGGTCATGGTGGTGGGCATCTCTAATCCCAGCTACTTGGGAGGCTGAGGCAAAGAATTGCTTGAACCTGGGAGGCAGAGGTTGCAGTGAGCCGAGATCACACCACTGCACCCCAACCTGGGCAACAGAGTAAGACTCAGTCTCAAAAAAAAAAAAAAAAAAAAAAAGGCAGAGATGGGTAAGGAGGGAGGGATAAAATGGTTGTTTTTTCCATCCCTCTAACCCTCTCCCCAATTTAAGAGGATGGCTCAGTACAGGGCATTCATTCTTCCTCTAAACAAAATCGGTAGGTTACCTAAAGCATCCTTCTAGGAGATGACCCTGTTCCAGTATCTCCTTTCCTACCCAAGGAAGATCCTTCGTTGGTCTCCTAGTCCTCCCCAAGTAATGGAAGATTCCAGTCCTTTCCCTAAAGATGTCCCCAGGGTGGGTGAAGCCTTTAGTGAGACCCCAAGGATCGCTGGCCTAGTTCCAGCAGATTCCAGTCACACCACCAGGTGGCGCTGTAAGTTCACTGAGCCCTCCTAGCACCAGGTCTGGCCAGAGCCCCCAGCCAGACCAGCGTGCCCTGTAGGTCCCTCTGAACCTCACTTCAGGGAGCACTTGTATGCGTTCCTACCTGACCTGGGGGCTCCTGAGGAAAGCGCCTGCCTTCTGGTGCTAGGCCCCAGCCAGAACTAAAGGGCTCTGGCTCCTTAGGTCCCCAGGGACTCCCACAGGGCTAGGGCAAAGAGTTGGGGCCAAGAGACCAGAAAAGAGGCTGGGCTGGAACCAGAATCACAAGGGTTGGGTGAGGAGACTCCCTAAGGGGACTTTGCCCTCTAGATTTGGGAACCCCTTCTCACTGGAACGTACGTGCACACACATACACATACTACACACTGGGTACGGGGGTGGGAGGATACGTCATCCCATGCACGTGCACATTTCAAACACATATACAGACTGGGCGCGGTGGCTCACACCTGTAATCCCAGCAATCTGGGAGGCAGAGGTGGGCGGATAACCTGAGATCAGGAGTTCAAGACCAGCCTGGCCAACATGGTAAAACCCCATTTCTACTAAAAATACAAAAAAAGAAAAAAAAAAGAAAAAAAAATTAGCCAGGTGTCATGGCACACGCCTGTAGTCCCAGCTACTTGGGAGGTTGAGGCAGGAGAATCACTTGAACCCGGGAGGCAGAGGTTGCCGTAAGCCAAGATTGTGAGATCACGCCACTGCACCCCAGCATGGGCAACAGAGTGAGACTGTATCTCAAAAAATAAAATAAAACATGTATGCACATGCATACTCACCTCACCATGCACACACATTACACATACACATACACCCCCATTTAAAAACACATGTACAAATGCATATTCCATCATGCACATGTGCCCACTTGCACATGACATTTACAAATACACATGCATGCACATGCACACTCGCTATGCATACACAGTAAACTCATGCACACCTTCATTATATTCACACAGAAATGTGCCACACAGATGTGCACACCCAGTATTAAAGTGCACACATTTGGCTACCAAGCTTACACACACACAAAACACATAAAGCACATGCACGCTCATAACCTGCACGCACCACCACATACACACATGCGACCTGCATTTGCTTGCACGCCTCCACCGCGCTCCTGGCCCATCCCAGCAGGCCTCAGACTGGCGTCTGGGGAGTGTGTTGGGTCTGCCAGTCCAGCACTGACCTCTGGTTGCAGAGTTGGCAGGCGAAGCAGTCGAGGTGATACACGTTATCCCGGGCCCGCATCACCATCTCGAAGGCTGGGATCAGCTTGCTGCAAGCAGCACAGTTCCCTGTAGTACCAAACAGCCTGCCAAGGGAAGGGTGCAGAGGACTCAGCAGCATTCTGGGGAGCTGGGTGGGCAGGGGGAAAGGAGTTGCCTCCATCCAGGGTCCTTCCCATCCTCCAACTTGTGGGCTTGGCAGGTGGGCTCATGCAATAGGATGAGAGCACTGAGGGCAGCATTTAGATTCCACCCTGACATCAGGCTGCCAAGAAATCGGCACATCCCCTTCCAGGGAGGGTGTGTAGGGGGTCAGGAGTTGGCTGTCACTGCCTATCCCAAGGCCCCCTCCCAGGCTCCCACAAGGGTCCTCAAGCCCCGGAGCCACCAAGAGAATCCTAGGCTGGGCCCTGAGCAAGGGATCCAGAACCACACAAGCCTGAATTTCAGGGGCAGAATGTGAATCTCGGGTTGTGTGCCCTCAGGCAAGTCAGTGAGTCTCTCTGAGCCTCATTTAAGTCATCTATAAAACAAAGTCTGAAACATACCCTTCACGGGGTAGTTGTGAAACCTGTTGTAAATTCTCAGTCACGATTCACTAAGCAACCACCTAGGTAGGGTTCACTGTGTGTCAGCCACTATTCTAAGAACTTTACAAAGATTAACTCTTAATCCTCACAGCAAACCTAGGAGGTGGTACTATTGTTATTCCCCATTTTAAAGATTTAAAAAATGAGTCACAGAGAAACAACTTGGACAGTCACAGGGCGTTGGTCCAGAAGGCATGCTCTAAACTACTGTGTGACGTGCTTTTCCCACCTTTGACATTACAGTGTTTATTATTCTATTTTTTAAAAATACAGATGGGGTCTAACTATGTTGGCCAGGCTGTTCTCGAACTCCTGGCCTCAAATGATCCTCCTGCCTCAGCCTCCCAAAGTGCTGGGACTACAGGCGTGAGCCACTGTGCCTTGCCAAAATTAAAGTGTTTTATTAAATCCTTTTTCCATGACAAACTCACTGTTTCACTTGCCTAAGTCCCTTTTTTTTTTCCTTTCTCTGAACCTCAGTTTATCCTTCTGTAAAATAGGGATGGATGATGCTATTCAAAGATGCTGTAAAACAGAACTGATGCCCAAAGGAAGCACCAAGGACATCTGGCACAAATGCCTCTTTGAGGCAGGCATCCCTCCTCTCATCTGCTGGCTGTAAAGCTCTAGGGACAGGGAGTTTACTCCCTCCCCATGCAGGCCAGCCCTTGGCTGGATGTCCCAAAGGTCTGAGCCATCCCAGCTCCTCCTTGCTTCTTTCCTACACACAGACAGAGCAAGCCCCAAGTGAGGCAAAGAGGCTGAGAAGAGGGGGGCCCCTCTAATCCCCAATTTGTCCAGCTCAAGCTGAGGCGCCTGCAGATGAGCTTGGCTCCATTATTCATCAGCTTGAGCTGCCTGGTGGCTCAGATTAAGGCAGACAAAGGCTGGGCCACAGCATCTGCCTGCCAAGAGGGGCTTTTCTTGCCATCAGCCCAGGAACAGTTGCTGCAGAGGGCGCAGGCTCTGGACAGCCATTCTCCCGGCCTGAGCAGCTCAAGGAAGCCACGCTCCCATCCCAGCCCACTGGTCTAGCTGGTCCTACAGTCATTCCTTGCCTCTGCCAGAGGAAAAAAAAATTACCTTCCATCCCTAGTAGCTGGCAGGGTCCTGTATGCTTGTGGGTGCTTTTTCCTGATAAGCCCATTCCACACTGTGGGCCTCTCTCTCCAAGTCAAGTGGACCCATCAGCTGGTCTGCCATGTTGTCCTAACCTGGTAGGCTCAGCCCCCAGGTGATGCCCTAAACCTCCAGACATGGAGGCCCCTTCTAGGTCCTCAAGGGGTGAATCCCCAGGAACATTCTTTTCTTTTTTGAGACAGGGTCTTGCTGTCATCTAAGCTGGAGTGCAGCGGCGCGATCACAGCTCACTGCAGCCTCAAACTCCTGAGCTCAAGCAATCCTTCCACTTCAGCCTCCTGAGTAGCTGGGACTACAGGCGTGCAGCCACTACACCTGGCTCTTTTTTGTTGTTGTTTTTTTGTTTTTTGTAGAAATAGGGTTTTACCATGTTGTCCAGGGTTGGTCTCGAACTCCTGAACTGGAGCGATCTGCCTGCCTTGGCCTCCCAAAGTGCTGGAATTATAGGCATGAGCCACCATGCCTAGTCTGAACATTCTTCCTTAACCCCTGCTCCTGGCCTCAGCCTCTCCCCTCCAGCCCTGGCAAGGAGCATTGAGTCACAGATTCTGTTTTACTACATCGCTTTTAAATGCAGGTGTTAAGAGAGAAGGTGCAGGCAGGTCAGTCAAAGAATCTTTGGGGAAGTGGGGGAACTTCCACTGATAACCTCCCCCTTGCGACATGCCCAGACCTAGGCAGAGGGAGCCCCATGAAGCCTTTGCCCTGACCTGTTAATGAATGCAATGAGCCCTCCTTCCCCACAAGCCCGGCCACCATCCAGCAGCCTGCGACAGAGCCAAATGCAGGTGTTGGGTCTCAGCCAAGGCCCTGCTTTGTGGCCTCCTTCCAGCCTTGCTGATGTCGTAAATGGCCTCAGGGAGGGTTAACTGGGGGAGGCAGCCCCAGGGAATAGGATCCAGGTTGTAGGAAGGGTGAGTTAGAGCTCAGAGGAATGCAAGGCAGGGAAGCATTGTTCTTTCACCCTTCACGGGGAAATAAACTGAGGCTAGGAGAAGATTAGGAGCCACAGGCTCAGAGCTAGTTCCAACCCAGGTCTTGAAGCTCCAGCATCAGTGGCCCTGCTCCTAGGATATGACTGCCTGCCAGTTTCCCTGGGCAAATGGACGTCTGCTCCCAAGGACCACCTGGAAAGGAAAGTTGGGCACTGGGAGAGGGAAGAAGACTGCATTAGGGAGGAGGGGCCCGGGGAAGTCAAAGCTTCCACACCTGTTCTCAAAGCCCCTCTGAAGTATCCCCTTCCAGATTCCAGATCAGGTGGGTCCAGATCAGGTGGGTCAGAAGCACCTGGCCAAGGCAGGGGGTTGGGGGGGGGGAGCAAAGCTGGGGCCCTCGGAAAGCTTAACTTAGGAGCCCCAGGTTACAAATGCCTGCCCTGAACCTGTGCTGAGCACTGAGTCCAAGGGCTTAAAGACCTGGGCCTTCCCTCAGGTATCTGGGGCAAGCAGGGCAGGGGCAGGACAGTCAAGAATGGGGGGGCACACAGGGTACTCGGTCTAGGGCCGGGGCACAGTTACACTAGGGCTGAGGATAGGGGGCTTTCTGAGCAGGACAAGGGCTTGCGAGGCCAGGGGTCGGCAGCCCACCTCAGGTAGTCGCGTCGGCACAGGATGAGGTTGGCCTTGGTGTAGAGGGTGGAGCCCACCTCGCCCAGGCGACAGTCACAGCAGGCACACTTGAGGCAGTCTTCGTGCCAGTACTTGTCCAATGCCTTCAGCAGATAGCGGTCCTTGATCTTGCGGTTACAGCCCGCGCAACCCTTCTGCTTCCCTTTGGGCTGAACGGAGAGCATCGGCACGCCTGCAGACGGACAGACAGACAGGAACGCAGGATGGGCCCCGTAGCTCTGGGCCTCAAGGAATATCCCCCAAGAATGGGGAGCTCACTGCTTCTCTCTGCTGCCCCCTCTAGGTTTGGGGCTCCCAGGAGCCCTCGCTTTCTCCCCAGTAACCTCTTTCCCTGGCTCTGGGTCCTGCCCTTTGGGCTGCGTGGCACAGCCTGTTTCCCCGGTCCTGTGAAGGTCCCTCCAGAGGCTGCTCTGCTCCAAGGCATGCACAGACCCCAGGCCTAGCCTCCCTGAGCTGTTCTTCCCCACCCTGGCCTCTGTCACCTGTGTGGTCTCACCCGGAGAAGCCTGAAGCTCGCCATGTGAAGCCACCATCGCATTGGCTCTTTCAGCAATAAGCCTAAGAAATGTAGTCTCCTCAGGCCCATGAGATCCTCTAGAACCCCCAGATCTTTTTGCCAACTCATGTTTCTCCAGCTGAAATGCTACAGCCTCTTGGTCTATCCATGTAGAGCTGTGAAGGCATCAAGAAGGAAGTGAGACACTCTTGGGACACTCCCAGGAGGGAGCAGAGGCTCTGGGGCTCCTGGCAGGTAAGAGGGGGCAGCTGGCAGGGCCTGGCTGGGGCTCTCCTTGGGAATGCTTCATACCTCACCTGCCCTGGCCTGGGGGAGGGCAGGCTCTGAGCCTCTGGATCCTTCCTCATTCTGCCAGGATTAGGATCTCTCAGCCATCAGCACCTCCCAGCACCCATACTGGCTTCCCAACATACACACAGGCACCAAGTACAAAGGGCCCAACATGATGTTCACCACAGAGCAGAGCCTCCCATCGCAGCAGGTGAGCATGTGTGCTCACGCACACCCCTCACACACAGGCACGATGTGCAGGTGTGGGCATGAAGTGACAGAGGCATGGATTCCTATTCCCTTCTCCTGGGACCACAGGGACAGTTGAGGAGGAGATGGGGACAGATGTCGTCCAGTAGCCTGGACACCCATGTGGACCTGTGAGGCTGGGAGGGAAGTGGAGAGGACCTCAGAAGCCCTGCTCTGTGACTTTACAGGCCTGTGGGAGTTGCCTGAGAATCCTTGTGAAGACAGGGAGGGTGTGCATGCTCTGTTCCTGACCAAGGTGCAGGCTGGATAGGGGCCCATCCCTCCTCACCTCCCCGGCTTTCCAACACTCCCCTGGAGTCAGTCCTTCTACTGGCCCTGTCCTCTCCAAAGGGTTCCTGCTCTCTGCAGGGCTCTGGCCTTCCTCCCATCCCCTGGTGTCCCTCCCATTCCCAGCCCTCCTCACCGCCCCCAACCCAGAGTCTGAAGGGTTAGGCTGCTTCCCTTCCTTTTGCTTCCCCCCTCCTTGGGCATCAGGGGAGGACCAGCCACAAGAGGCCTTGGTCTCAGAATCCACAGATGTAAGGTCAGAAGAGCCCTCAGAGTTCTTTCAGTTAAATGCTCTTATTCTACAGATGGGGAACCTAAGGCTCAGACAGTTACAGGGCATTGAGTCAGCCACCGTCAAGCTGGCCCCAGGGCTCCTTCCCCTCTCCTGTGCTCACTGTCAGCCCAGCTGGCTCCTCAGACTTCTCCTGGATAGGTGAGGCTGGGGAGCAGACACTCACCCACAGGCTGCAGTGCGCAGGGCCAGTGGGCTCCCTCCTCCTCCTCCGTCCAGTCCCCGCAGGGCCTGTCTGTTAGCTGGGGAGTTTGCTGCCTAATTTCCTTAATGCAGTTCTAAAGGTTAATTGGTCTGAGAGAGGGATGGGGCACAGGATGACTCTGTCCTCGGGCCTGCTTGTGTCTCTTCCAGCAGGGCCCAGCTGGCACAGAGCTCTGAAAGAGCCGAAGGAGGGCAGCTGGGGAGCAGGTACCCCTGAGAACTGAAGGGGTCTGCAAGGCTCCTTCCAAGTCCTGGCCTACAGGGATGTGTGGGGACATGGGGGAAGAGTTAAAATAGCTGGATGGGGAAATGAGGGCCTCCCAGGGTAGGACCTGGACCAGGGTAGGGCTCCATGGGCAGGACCTTTGTCCCTAGGCCCTGTGCAGGGAGCGTGCAGCCAACAGAGCTATGCATTCAAAAACCGACTGGGAAGATCTTGGGCCAGGCCCCCACTACAGCCCCTACAAGGCTCACATTCCTTTTGCTCAGCCAGGCTCATGGCAGGCCTGGCTTCCTTCCCAGCGGTCCTGAGCCCCTCCCAGGACTCTATATTTGGGTTATTACCAGAACATGGGTGAATGGCTGGAACCTCTGTACTCAGGGGAGACCCTAGCCCACTAAATTATAGCCCAGCATGAAGGGAGACAGTGAGAGAGCCCAGCACTTGAAGCAGCTGTCCCACTCTCTCTTCCATCTACCCTGGCTCTTGGACAGGCTGGTCTTCCAAGCTCGGACCCTAGCATGTTTGTCCTGGCTCCTGCAGGGCTGAGAACGCCAGCAGTAGTCGACAGTCTCTCCACTGGAGGGATCTGGCACCTACAGGGCCCTGTGGAAGCCATGAGGGGTGCAGCTACCAGCTGCCACAAGTCCCCCTCCCTGCTGCCTGTGCCCAGGCTGGCCTCTGCACAGGCAGGTTACCTTAAGACCTGGACACCCCTCTTCCGGGATGCTGAACTGATTCCTGGCTCTGGAAAACTCTTATAGAAGCCACACAGCTTCTGCCAAAGTGTACCGAGGAGGCCCCAGAGCATCTAGAGACCCTTGGGTCTAGAGACCTCCTGGCAAGAAAGGCTGGCATCCTGGGGGAAGCCTGAGCCAGGACAGCACCGTGGGATGGGCCTGGGACCAGACTCCAGGTCTGCAGTCCTCTGGCTATGGGGTCCAGAGCATATCCCCCGGTCTCTCTGGGCCTAACTTCCTTCATCTGCCTGTAAGAAAAAGTGAAGCAATCCCTTGCTTCTCACAGGAGAGTGGAAGAGCTCTGGGGGGTCAAACAAAACAGTGGAGACAGCCTTCCTTCCTCATGGGGCATCCATGCTGTGGCTGCTCTCACCAGGCTGATCCAGGAGGCTTGAAAACACTACTGGAAAGGTGGAAGGGCTTTCAGGAGGGGCTCTGCAGTCTCCTGTTCCCCAGATGGAGGGATCAGCTCCCCACAGGGTCAGGGCCCTCCCTCCTGCTCTGCCTCCCCCATTCCCACCTAGCCCCCCACCCAATCCGCCAGCTTGCCCCTCTGCAGACACCTCTTCCCTCCCTCCTTCCCCAGCCTGGCTCTGGGACCTGAGCCTCGGGCCATGCACTTTCCATTAAGGAGATAGCATCCCTTTGCTAAAGTCCATTTGGGATCCATTTTAGTGTTATCTAAAAATCAAATCTACATGGTAATCCTTTTAATGTACTCCTGACTTTAGAAAAAAATGGCTTTGCGCTCCTTCAGGAAAGGTTTTAAAGCATTACCCAGTAATTACTACTCACCCATGAAAACACTGATACTTTACAACGGATGATGTTTGCGCCGACACGCACGCCTGGGCACCCACTCAGATGCATGCGCCCAACAGAATAAACGAGTCCACTCAACCCAGGGTCACCCCTAAGTCTCAGGACATGGGGGGAACGACATTGGAGGGGAAACAGGCTGAACTCCAACCCCTACCTCTAGCAGGGGGTGGAGGCAGGGCTGCTGGTGGAAGGAGGCAGCCAGGCTCGGAGAGAAGCCTCCCAGTCTGACTCATCTGGCTGCCAGACACTCACCCTCCGCTCTTTAATCTGGGGGAAAGCCAGACAGTCCAGGTGACGGGGAGGGACTGCCAGAGGTCATCCTGCCCCTCCCACTCTCTTCCTCCAGCAGGGAGGTGAAATGCCCTCATCTTCACATGGACCCCAGAGTAGTCCACTAGGCCAGACCCAAGTCCCCAGCAACCCCTGCCCACCTGTCCCAGCCCAGTTGCCCCTCAGCTCCAGCACGTGGACTTTCTGAAACTGCCAAGCCCACAGGTTCCAGTACTACCAGTGCCTCTGGTTTGGACGGCACCCTGGGGGGACACCTACCCCAGTGAGCTCCTCCAAGGCCAGTCTTCCAGCCCAGAACATCGACCTCACCCAGTCCCAGGTCACTCCAGGCTCTTTCCTGTGGCTCTCCTTCTTGGAGCCACTGTAGCCACACCCTGGTAACTCCACTGGGCATCTGCAGCCCCTCCCACACGCCAGTGTGTCCTGCTTGGCACTGCTGGCTCTGCTCCCTGCAGGATCCTGGAACACAGCTCCTCTCCCTCCAGCAAATAGATCTTCTTTGCTTGTGTCCCAGGGCCTTCACTCTGTACTACTCCAGGCAGAAATGCCTTTGTCCTGCCCATGCCCACTCTCCCCAAAAGGTCAGAGTCAAGAGCGGGACTGAGGCTAAGAGTTCAGACCTTGAAATCAGAGAGCCTAGTTTCAAGTCTGGGAACTGCTCCAAGAAGCTGGGGGACCTGGATTAAATCCTCCCACCTTTCTGACTAGCATGTGTGTACTGGGGGCCACAATGGTCTCTTTCCGCTCAGAATGTGGTGAGGATAGAATGAGGTTATGCACATGAGGCCATAGCACAGAGTCTGGTGCCCAGGGCACAGTGAACAGGAACTGATAGTATTAACACTCACCCCAGGATACCATCCCTGCTCAGCACTTGCTTTCTTTTTCTTTTAACATTTTCTCTCTTGACATAATTTTGACACTCGCAAGAATAGTAGAAAAATATTAGAAAATATTAGAAATATTAGAAAATAGTAGAAAAAATAACCTGTAAACCCTTCACCCAGATTTCCTGTATATAACATTTTACCACATTTGATTTATCCACCATCTTTCTACCTACTCCTACCAACTTACCTATAATTTTTCCCTAAATCATTTGAGAGTTGGTTTCAAACAGGAAGCCTCTATATCCCCTAATACTTCTGGTTTGCACATGCTTTACTGAAAACAAGGACATTCTCTTATATAACCACAGTGCAATAATTGAAACCAGAAAATTATCATTGGCATAATATTATTATCTAATCTATAGACCTCATTCAGGTTTTACCAATTT